GGACAGGACAGGACTCAGGAGTGATGTCTCTGTTGTTGAACGAGGCCTTCTCTAAATACATTCAATGCACAATTTCAGCCAAAGACACTCACTTTCAAATGTGCCTCTCAGTGTGACTGTAGTCCTGCAGCACAGCAGCAGGGGGCGCCATACTCCTTCATAAATGTGGAACTGAGGGATTAGAATCCTGTGTGTGATGATTCCAACATGTTCATATATCAGCCTTAGAACCACCCTTTAATGTTGCTCAAACTGTGTGTGTGCTTTTCTACAACAAACATCACAATATATGAATGTCACACAACAGCGGCTACACAACTGTACACACGTTTATTCACCAACAACTCAAACCACGTCATTTACATCATGAAGCAAGAATAAGACACACAGTAGAAACTCAGCATGTGACTGTGATGACCTTAAAGACACATGGATCACACAATAATAAAACATGGGACTTATATAGAGCTTTGTGGACACTCAGAGACGCCGCACAAAGACACAGACACACACTTATGTGTGGCCAGACTCACTATTGTTTCAGCTGCTTCTTCAATAGTTTTTATTTACAGTTTAGCTTCAAAACCACTGAATAATAATGTCCCCATAATGTCAAAATATGTCCATAAAATATTATTGGGAATTATAGTAAAAATGTCCCCACTCTGTCTTGATGCAGCCAGGAACCAAAAGATTTTCCTTTCAGACAAAAACATGATGTATCCGAGTCTCCAGACACAAAGTAAAGATGTTCAAATCCACAATAAGTGTTTGGTCTGTAAAGCTCAGCAGCTGCAGCACAGGGTTAAGACTGAAGTGTGATCCTGTAGAGTCTGACTCTGGGTTCACATGATGCAGCCTCAGCTCTGTCTCCTTCACTTTGTTCCAGATGCTGCGTCTTCACACCTGCTTCTCACAGGTTTTCATGTGTCTATGAAGAGATGACCCACGAGTAAAAGACTTTCCACACTTTCCACAGACAAATGGTTTTTCTCCAGTGTGGATTCTGCTGTGGAGCTTGAGAAGTTCTTTTCTAGAAAAACATGTTCCACACTGATCACACTCGTATGGTTTTTCTCCAGTGTGGATCCTCTTATGATCTTTGAGAGAACCACTATGAGCAAAATTCCGACCACAAACATCACAGCTGAAGGGTTTTTCTCCAGTGTAGATTCTCTGGTGAACTTTGAGAGAACCACTGCGAGTAAAACTCTGCCCACAGAAGTCACAGCTGAAGGGTTTTTCTCCAGTGTGAATTCTGCTGTGGGTCTTGAGACTTCCTTTTGTGGAAAAACATGTTCCACACTGATCACACTCGTACGGCTTCTCTCCAGTGTGGCTCCGATGGTGAACTGTGCGCTCTGCTGCAGTTCTAAAAGTTTTACTGCAGAGGTCACATGCAAATGGTTTTTCTCCAGTGTGAATTCTCTCATGACTTTTGTAGTTTGAAAAGAGAGTAAACTCCTTCCCACAGTCTCCACAGACAAATGGCTTTTCTCCAGTGTGGATTCTGTAGTGCACAGTGAGGTGAGATAAATGTGTAAAAGTCTTCTCACACTGGTCACATTGGTGAGGTCTCTCTCCTGTGTGGACACGCTGATGGACTGAGAGCAGGTATTTTCTCCTAAATGTTTTTCCACACTCGTCACACTCAAATGGTTTCTCTCCTGTGTGGATCCTCTGATGATCTTTGAGAGTATTCTCATGTCTAAAACTCTGACCACAAACGTCACAGCTGAAGGGTTTTTCTCGACCTTGAGACCTTCTTTTGTAATAAAACCTGTTCCACACAGATCACACACGTATGGTTTTTCTCCAGTGTGAGTTGTGTAGTGTCTCTTAAGTTCGGAAGCAGATCTGCAGGTCTTTCCACACTGATCACAGGTGAGCCCCATTCTTTAGATGGACTTTGTAGATCTGCCACAAACACAACAAAGACATGTCATTAGTACAACACATACGTAATATAATATGAATAAAAAAAGTGTCTTCAGCCCAAAATACGACCCACATGTATTTTGCTACAGTGACAACTCTAGTTTTCAATTGCGTGTCCAAATATTAGAAAATAACAAAATAAATAAAATATGCACAAGCCTTATCAACTTTGAGAGAGAGTTATGTAAACATTATTAGAATTAGAATAATATTGTAAATTACGTTCACTAAAGATTTAAGAATAAGAAAAAGTGACGCGAAGCTGGAATCCAGAGCCCACACAGATTCAGGAGAACAACCTTCAGGCCGGGATAGAGAGAGAGAGAGAGAGAGGGAGAGGGAGAGGGAGAGAGAGAGAGAAGAGACAGGGAGAAGAGGGACAGTTTGATGGAGGAAGAGGAAGAGAGTGTAGGAACAGTGAGAGGAGGTGATAGAGGGAGAGGAGAGAGTGGAGGGACAGAGACCTGAGCGCAGAGTCTGTCAGGACAAACACACACTTCAGCCACAATGATGAGATGTGACTGGTCTGCTCTGGCTTCAGGGAAAACTCTAAAACTCCTCAAATCCAGAGAGCACAGAGCAGAGAGCACAGAGCACAGAGCAGAGAGCACAGAGCAGAGAGCACAGAGCAGAGAGCACAGAGCAGAGAACACAGAGCAGAGAACACAGAGCAGAGAACACAGAGCAGAGAACACAGAGCAGAGAACACAGAGCCTCTGGACTGAAGCAGGAGTCGTGCTGTGAGAGGATAACATGTTCCTCTCGGTGTACGGCTTAAAGCTGATGTACCCAACTTTTATACATGCATGTTGTACATCAGCTTTCAGCCCTGAGGCACATTTTCTTAAAAATGTGCGAAAGACAGCCAGAGAATTTTGGTTTTGCACTACTCTTGTCGTTAGGACAAACAATGTTTATGAAAGAAAAACATTAGACACACAGGAAAATCTGAAAAAAAATGCTAACTCATTTAAGTGCCTTCTGAAGTCCACAGCGGCTAAACCTTTTTTATATATATACTTTTGAATGCACTGGAAAACGGCTGCAAGTAGAAGTAGCTCTGAAACAATTGTATTTTTCTTGCCTTTTTCTACCTGAGATGTTGCTGCAGTACAGTGTTCATGGTTTGGTCCAGACCAGTGTAAAAAAATAAAATACACCGGAGAGGATTCATGGTTCGAACCAAGCGGATCAGGATAAAATCCACTGGAGGAATGCTAACTTTTTGAAAAATGCTAATGAAGCATTTAGCACTTCACTTTGGACTAGAGTTGAGAATATGGTCCAATCCAAGCGGCTACTCCACCCAGTGACCTGTCCTGCTCCACCCAAAGACTACTCCACCCCTGCTACTATGACCTGAAGGGCTGTTGCTGATTGGGGCTGGGATAAATGATTTAAAAAAAAATTAATCTAGCGATAATTTTTTCGATGCATCGATTAATCTAACGATTAATTATTTCAGTTTGATTCGACTTCGATTCGATTATCTCCATTAATTGACTAATAGCAACAGTGTTTCCCATAGATTTGAAAGCAATGTGTGGCGGTGTATGTATGTTTGGGGGGGGGGAACACAGGCGCGCCCCTCCAGGTGAAGCGCGCACCTGTGTCTCCCCCGCTCTCTCTAGTCTCCCCTGCTCTCTCTCTCTTGTCTAACAAGCATAAGAATAATGCTTCTCCAACACATTACTGTCCTGGTGATGACGGGAGGCACGATATGTGCGGAGACTTTAGCGGAAGCTGGAGGTTGCGGCACGGTGACCATGACAGAACTACTCTGAGAAACACTGTTCTCACTGAATCTGAGCAAAGTGTCTAAAGTTAGTGTTTGATAAGGTATAACACTCACACGCTGCTGCAGCTGCATTCGCTTTGCTATGGTTTCTCCACTGATTCAACGCGGTCTTGCTCGAACATTTTGTATGACAGCATTAAGTTTTTTGGGGGCAGGGAGATATTCCGACATGTCTGCCAACTAGTGGCAGGGAGCTTGAATGAATTATGACAATGTTCGACACAGTCGGCCGTTTTAAACAGTACAGCAGCTTGTCGACTTGTGGCGCCTGGAGGGTTAATAACGAAACGCAATGTGTGGCGGTCGGTTTCAAATCTGTGGCGGTGCGCCTATGTGTGGGAAACACTGAGCAATGTATACATTGGGTGTTTTGTGTTGATTTACATATCTGAGTGAAAAAACATGAATTCCTTAACAAAATATTTATTGCTCTTAAACTTCAAAGGCATAAAACCTTGAAGCCTTGAAAATACATCTTATTCTTCTTTCAGATTAAAAAACTTGATGTTTAGCATTCAATAGAATACGATAAAGTTCACCCAAAATACTTGTTTATAGTAACTGAAAGAATACAGTAAACAATGTAAACTTGAGGGCTTTAAGCTAAAGAGAGAGGGCTTTTCTAGCAAAAAATGAAAATAAATATTTAGAATTAAGAACAGTTATGTTGAACATAGGCCTAGATTACTGAAAAAATAATCTTCAGTCACAAATAACAACTTAGACTGACACTTTCCTCTCTGTCTCTGTGTGTGCTTGTGAACATCTGCCTCCAGCCCGTGTTGTCATTCTACAGTGACTAAACTAGCACAGCTAGCATGTAGCGCAGCTAGCACGTTCGCTGATGCGGAAGTACAGTCTAATAATAAAATAAACTGATGGTGCACCTCCATGAACACATACTGCTGTTATATAAAGTCTCTGGACACAGAGCCGCTGCAGAGCTGCAGTATTGGAGAAGAACTTTACACAAAACGCCACTAGCTAAACACTGTAATTTAGAGAATGTGCGTCTACTGCGTGGTCTGAACAAGCTATGAACAAGCTGAATACACATTCAAGCTAACAGTCTGTAAAATCAGACAAAATGTTTTTATCAGAACTGCAGAGCTTTTCCCACATCTTCAGTAGGTCTTTGGGAAACCTAAAAAATGAGCATGCGTCACGTAAACTTTGATGATTACAGCCGAAAACAAGGCAGATAATGTTGTACCATTCAATTAAACAGCCTCTTCAAACAGCAGGAGGTCTGTTTGTGTCCGAACTATGGACGTGCTTCTGGGACGAGACTTTCCAGCGCTATTGTCTCCATGGTCTGCGCCTCCATGGTCTGCGTCTCCATGGTCTGCGTCTCCATGGTCTGCGTCTCCATGGTCTGCGTCTCCATGGTCTGCGTCTCCATGGTCCGCGCCTCCATGGTCCGCGTCTCCATGGTCTGCGTCTCCATGGTCCGCGTCTCCATGGTCTGCGCCTCCATGGTCCGCGTCTCCATGGTCTGCGTCTCCATGGTCTGCGTCTCCATGGTCCGCGCCTCCATGGTCCGCGCCTCCATGGTCCGCGTCTCCATGGTCTGCGTCTCCATGGTCCGCGTCTCCATGGTCTGCGTCTCCATGGTCTGCGTCTCCATGGTCTGCGCCTCCATGGTCTGCGTCTCCATGGTCTGCGTCTCCATGGTCTGCGCCTCCATGGTCTGCGTCTCCATGGTCTGCGTCTCCATGGTCTGCGTCTCCATGGTCTGCGCCTCCATCTCTGGCCACACTGTGCCCCACACTGCAGCGCTCTCCTGCGGCTGCGCTCCCTCTCCCTCTCGGGGGAACATACCATCACCGCTGCTGCTGCTACACGCCGTTTTTATTTACATTTGTCAGAGTCTGTGGCTCTTGTTCTAGTTAGTTTTGTCAGAAAGGCGAATTGAAACGATGCAGAGATTTTTTTTTTTCCGAGGCCAAAAGAGCCACAACAAAGAGCCCACCCCAGAGCCACCTCAGGGCTTTACTAGTGCAGACCCTCCTCAAACTTTACAAAGGATTTATACATTTAACAAACATGACATTTTCAGAGGGTCAAAATTCCGCGGATCCCTGGATTTAGGAGAAGAATTTAACCTGTGAGAGCATGAGAGAGAGAGGATCTTTTATGATTGTATCGTCTGTAGTTTTTAAAGACAGTGTAGAAAAGTCCAACCAGAGACATTGTCACAGATAAACCTCAGACACGTCCTTTACAAACTCTGTATCACATGAATGAATGTTGAACTAAGTCTACAGCTGAGAGAAAACAGTAAGTGGAGAGGACAAAGGACAGGCTAACGACTAGCATTAGCATTAGCATTAGCATTAGCATTAGCCCCCGACACAGGATCACTCAGATCTTGGCACAAACAAAGTTAAAGCTGGAATCCCCGAGGCCCACGTGACTCAAAGCCACAGTCTGTTAGTGGACAATAAAGAGTTTAAAGTCTTGTACTTACATTAGTGATGTGCTGAGTCTTCAAAGTGTGTACCGAGGAATCAAAGGGAGTTTTTTTTGGAAGCGTGGGTCGAGGCGGGTGTTGATGACGTATGTGGTGACGTTCGAAGCCGCGGCCGCACCACGTGACGGTTCTCTGTGGGAAAATGTCATGGATCTATTATAATGATAATGTTAATCATTCTTTCTCCTGGGAGAAAAATAAAGGGGGCGAGGATTTCAACTTGTTTCATGACAACAGCATTGACAGATGGCCTTCACATGAACAAAAAACTATCACATATTTGAAAACATTTGCAATAATTTAAACCTGGTAAACATCTGGAGACAAACTGATCCTGCTGAAAGAATATTTACATGGAGCAACAAGGACAAAACACTTCAATCTCAAAATAGACTTCTGGATTATCTGTTAAAAGACAAGGATAAAACAGCGAAAGAACCAGCAGTTCTTACAGATCTTAAAACTAAACTCTAGCGTATTATCAAACACAGATATATGGTTTATATAAAGTCTAATGTATAATGAGTGTTGTTTGATCCGCTCTGCAGACACTCACACGTTCACACGGGTCAAGAACAGAGGATTAGAACATGAGGAGAACCATGAAAAGCACAGTGTGACTTTGATGTGGAGCTGTCAGTCTGTCCCAGGACATGAGGCCTTACTGCGCAGCTGCGACACACGTCACTCAACCTGAACACTCTGCACAACTCTGTCACAATAGGATTGAATTGGTGATTAGTGACTGTGGAAGGACATGTGTCATTCATCCATGACCGTGTTAGAATCACCTCCACAACTCAGAGTTAAGGCGCCGGACGCTCTGTCGTTTCTGTGGACAGTCAGAGTCACACATTTATTCACAGTCTGTTATTATAAAGATCAATATTTACTAAAGTTATAAATCTTTCATAAATGTCAGTAATGTAAATCTAAAGCCTTTTTAGTTTTCTAGAGAAGTTGTGGCACATTAATTTGTCAAAGTTTGAAGTTTCTTTTGATAAAGTCTCTCAAAGCCCGAGCCTTAAGAGAAACTGAAGTAAAGACTGAATTAAAGAGGGACATAAAAGGAGAGAGGCTGCTGCGGCTCTACCAACATGCAGCTAGCGCCCCCTAGTGGTGAATGACTCAGAGCTTTACAAGAGCAGATTAAAAACATGCTCAACATTTGTTATTACAATAAATCTTTATTCCATAAGGAACAGTTTGAACAGATGTACGTCTGAGCAACGCTTTATGGAGGACAAAGTATCAAGAAACGCTGCATCATGAATAATATTCTCTTCTCAGACAAACAGGGAACTTTTCACATGTTTTTGACGTTAATGTTCCCTATCGCCCCAAAATAAAAGAAACAAGATTGTGAATACAGTGGAAACAGTTAAAATATTACCAAGGACCATTGCCTCAAAGAATGACTTCAACTGGTTTTAATTAAAAAGCAGACTTTAATAATAAGAATAACAATAATAGTAATAATAATAATAACGTTTATTTTGAGCAAATATGTTTACAAGAAACAAAAGTAGAATATTAAAATAGTGCATAAAAAAACCCTGAGTTTACATAAAACTAAATTATAAATATTATATAACCAAGAGAAACACTTTAAATTGCATGAGTTTTTAAGGTTCTAAGTCTGACTTTTTCTGGTGGAATCACGTCCGTTTTAAAACTAAACAATAGTTTTGATAAATCATGAGATTAGGAGAGAGTCACAGTCATAAAGTTTGGCACAGTTTACTATAAACACATTTGTACCTGTGTTTTCTGGCCTCCGTCACATCTTTAGATAAGAATCAGAATTATTTTATTGCTGTTGTAAGTAACAGAAGTAACAAACTATGAATTGTCTTTGGCTCATGGTGCAAACAAGTTGTAAGAGTAAAAAGATATTCAAACTCTGACTCTGACGCTGTGACGTGATGAAGCTGAAGTAAAGCCTTGTTTCCTCTAATATTTTGAAAAGAATGCAGTGATCCACCGGGCCTAGCATGCTAATGTTTACATGAGTTTAATAACGGGTCATGATGAAAGTGTTTTTGCACAAATACTAATGTTTGAATATGAAATAAAAGCCAACAGCTCAAATGTTGGACTCTCTCACAGCTCAGATATGTGTGTTTGTGTGTCTACATTTATCCTAAATGTTCCCATGGTTTTAGAACGTCTTTGGGCGGCTTCCATCTCGTCACATTTCCTGTTTCAGCCAAAGCCACAGAAGTCAGATTGAAGTTATTGAACAGTGAGTGTCCTGCACAGATTTGTTACATTCCAAATGTAATATTGAAGAGGAAGTTTGTGTTTTTTGAACCAATATAGAAACAGAAGAAGACTTTTCCTCAGTTCATTCAAACATATGTTGGGATAGTTTGTGCTCTTGGACTTACAGTAATAATGTGTGTATTATTGACTTTCATCATCAGGACATCAATTGTGGAGTTTTACTGGAGACAAAGACGAGAAGTTACTCATGAAGAATCTCAGTGTTGTGGCTGTGTTTTTGATCACAAATGTAAATGTGCTCATTCAAAGCCTGGGTTTGGTATCTCTGAAGGAGCCGTCAGCTTTAACAGACTCTTTGAAACACTGTCAGTCACAGAAGCACTTTGGGTTCATGAAAACATTGTGGATCAACCTCTGACCTTGTGGCTCCTTCGTTTGGGATTTTTATGGTTGAGTTAATTTATTTTTATGAATAACTTGGATTTTCATTTACTTTTCTGTGAGTCTGTTTGATCTCTACTTTATAAATAAACATATATAATATATATATATACATATTTATTGAAAGCGCTGAGCATGTTGTGCATGTGTTGTGTACCACGTGGTCACAGCCAACTGCTTCCTGCGGGAGGAAAGACCCGGAAGTAAGAACAAGAGAGTGTTTTTGTTGTTTCCCACAGCCGCATTTTCCTTCAGTCCCTCCTTGGATCTACAACAGACTCCCACAGAGACAGATGTAAGTACAAGACTTTAAACTCTTTATTGTCCACTAACAGACTGTGGATTTGAGTCACGTGGGCCTCGGGGATTCCAGCTTTAACTTTGTTTGTGCCAAGATCTGAGTGATCCTGTGTCGGGGCTAATGCTAATGCTAATGCTAATGCTATGCTAGTGCAGTGCTAATGCTAGTGCTAATGCTATGCTAATGCTAATGCTATGCTATGCTAATGCTAATGCTATGCTAGCTAATGCTAGCTAGTCGTTAGCCTGTCCTTTGTCCTCTCCACTTACTGTTTTCTCTCAGCTGTAGACTTAGTTCAACATTCATTCATGTGATACAGATTTGTAAAGGACGTGTCTGAGGTTTATCTGTGACAATGTCTCTGGTTGGACTTTTCTACACTGTCTTTAAAAACTACAGACGATACAATAATAAAAGATCCTCTCTCTCTCATGCTCTCACAGGTTAAATCTGTCTCCTCCATCATCGTTATTTAGCCTCAAACGCAGCTGTTCATCAATATCTTCAGGGTTTCCTAGAAATATAAGGTGCATTAAAAATAACATTCATTATTATTATTATTATACATCATGTGTGTTTGGCCTCTGTCACATCTGTAGATCAGCTTTTTCAGACAGAAAAGTGACAAAGAGAGGACCACCCTCACTCAGCCAATCAGCTCTCAGCCCAAAGAGTCCAATAGTGACTCACTGGGATCTTACAAATATGCACCAGATGTTTTCTCAGAGGATGAAGACATGTGTCTGATTTTACGTTTTCACAACTTGGATTATTCATGAGGAAATAAAAGTAAAGGTTCAGTAAAAGCACACATTACATTTTTAAGAGATTTTAGATCTGTTTTTTTTAGTGAAACTGAATGTTGTGTTGAACTGAAATCATGTTCTTTGAGTTCTGTCACAGCAGGACGTACAACATGCATTTATAAAAGTTAGGTACAGCAGCTTTAAGCCGTTCACTGCTCTGTGCTCCCTGCTCTGTGCTCTCTGCTCTGTGCTCTCTGCTCTGTGCTCTGTGCTCCTGCTCTCTGCTCTGCTCTCTGCTCTGTGCTGTGTGTAAGTCCTGTGCATCCTTTTCATTCAGCTTTTTCAAAATTGTGGCTCTCAGTCCTTTTGTAAACCTTTGTATTTATATATGGGTGATTCTTCAGCTGCGGACCAATCAGGTTCTGCAATTTTTGGAATATCTAAATTCGTTTTTCAAAAATATTGTTTAGTGTAATAATAATAATGCATCCGTTTTATATGCGCTTTTCTAAAGGGGCGTTCAGACCGGACTTAACTTTGGCGTCAAAAGCATCAGGTTTGCATTGAAAGTGAATGGTGCTGAATGTGAATGGTCAAAAGCTTCAAGAGTCGCAAGTAATACGCGCTCACTT